TAAATACGTTTAAATATCAGCAATCGCCGCTCCATTGTAAAGGACGCGAGAAAACGAGAGCAGCCGCGTGTGGGCGTGTCGCTTCCTAAAGTCATTTGTCGGCGAACGTGATCCTGGCGCGTCAGATGATCGGAGATCGGCTTCTTCCTCTCGCGGGCGGCCTCTTCGCCTTGACTATTCACGCCCGAAAGGATGATGCAGCTGTTGATGCCTCCTTCCTCTTTTTCTAAGCCCTGTGCGGTATTTTTGTAACTTGAACGGTCGCCCGAGCTCCTGACTCTCGTCCTTACAGACTGCGTGGCTCCTCTTGTCTTTCGGCGACTTGTCCCAAAAGCACTGACCTTGGATGCTCTCACGCACGCCCCGTTGCATCGAGATACTGGCAATTAGCCCGAGATGCCTACGACAGCAAGGATAATAAACTGAATAACTGCCCGAGAAGTTGGAATCTCTGCCTAATAGTTTCTCACGGGAGAAGCGAGTGGTTTATTAATAATTGCCAGCGTTGTTTATTAGTAATTTTTATTATTCGATCATAAGGTCAAGCTCTTTATTAATGCAGAGCTTCGGATAATATAATTTTAACGCAAATAGTAAATATACTGACACGGCTATCGGCAATTTCATTGGATTTCGGCAATTCGTTTGAAAAATTCAGCCACTATGAATAAAATGCAAATAGACGTCCGGCGATGTTCGTACAACAATTTCGTTATGAAAATAATTTGAATCGTCGAGAATTACACTCCCGAAATAACGAGCATTAATGATTAAATAATACTTGATCGTTCGTATTAGATTCGTTTTGCAACTGCCAAGTACAATTTTAATATTCTATTTAGTAAATTGCACACATAACGATCGATTAACATTAATCATGAGCTTTCCTTACGAATATCAAACTATTTATAAGTTATTACATAAAAACGAAGAAAAAAAAATAAATATAAATTTAAAAAATCTATCACTTATGAACATTATACCGACATCCCATTAAAAATATTGATGAAAATATCGCATATTCTCATCTTTAATTATCCCCTATTAAATATACAATCATATTGAATCGCACTTACTTTCATAACAAACGAATGTAAAAATTTTTATTATAATTAATGTTAAATTTTAAGTATCTATCAAACAAATCTATAAGATATAAAACTTTGTGCTGTATTTAGAAATTAAAATACACTTTCAACGTCAACGTGTTCCTGCTTCGATTTATGCTTCTTTTATTCGCTTTTGTATTTTGAGAGAGAAAGAAATTGGGTGAGGGGTGGATTGGGTGGGGGGGGGAGATTGGAGGGGGTGGGTGGAAGGGGGTAACAAAATATTTGTTAACAATCACTGCGTAAGCGAGAGAGAGAGAGAGAGAGAGAGAGAGAGAGAGAGAGAGAGAGTGTGTATCAAGGTAGCTAATAATAGAAAGTTTGCAACGTAACGGCAAATGCCAATAACTTTGCAAATACCCCAGTCGTCGCGTGCCTTATAACATCCTGTCACGTGCGTAAACAGCACTTAAGTAGGTAATTCGAATTTGTACTTTGGCCGCTCTCTGGATTTACCGCTCTAGAAATATCTCCGTATGCGTGGTTTTCCGAAAAATCGTCGATTGCCACGAGAGCTCCTAAATTAAAAGAAGTATTTATATTTCATTTTTCGCCTTATAAATGGAAAGGATTTTCTAAAATAACATTGATTTATGCAGCTTTTGCAATTTTAATACTTTATTACATTTTCACTAGTATTCTATTAATTTCACTTCAGTAACATTTAAGTTGCCCTTAATTTTATTACCTTTTTAATCCACGACGTACAATAATCATTTAAAGTTCCCTTGTACTATTATATTAATACTCTGATAATATATAAGAAATATATAACTCTATAATCCAACGATATTTTCCAAAAATATACTATTTTATTGTATAAATTTATATTGGATTATAAAAACTGTGTCATAAGATTTTCTGCGAGCATTTGTAGAAGTTGTCGTTGAAAAGTAAAGCAATATTTTTTGGAAATGTCGGTATGATTTTATTTCTAACGTGGTATTTTCTATTATACTACGAGCTTTTAATATATATATATATATATATATATATATATATTTTTTTTTTATTTATTTTCAATTTAACGAAGGATTTTTGCAAATTCTTAATAAATAGTAAAAATATTCATAAAAATTAGTTAATAATTGTTAGTTTATTATGAGTTTGCAATCATACATGTATTGTATGATACATACAGCCTCGTATAATAATATTAATATAAATTTATTGTTAAGATTATTGAAACTGTAGATCAGCATTCGGATCGAAAGTCTTGGATATCTTGGATACATTTGCTACAACACATTTATAAGAATTTCTATATATTTAACAAAATCACAGACGCTCGTAGTTAAAGAAACACATACTCCAAATACAAATGTATTATGTTTCTTTTATTTGTTTGGAAATTGATTGGATATTATTTGATAAAAACTATTCTCCTTTACAATAAAAAAAAAAAATAAATAAAAATAACAAATAAAACGCAAAAAAAAACAAAACTCGTTAACCCCCCCCCCCCTCCCAATCCCCGTCGTTCCCCATATTAGCAACAAATATTCAACAACTATTTTAGTGGTAAAGATATTATCGTGAAAGTTGGGGAACTTGCCACAAGCGTATATTTAGATATTGTTTTGTGCGCACATTTATCACGTTAATAAATCAGATTTGAAATTCAACGATTGAATATTACAATTAACATAAACCTTTGAATGTGCTTAACAATGACGTCTTGTTTATAGGCAAAACTTGATATTAGAATTAACGTATAATTCGTCTATTCCCTTTCCAAATGTCGAAGAATAAAAAGCCGTTGGCCGTAGTGATTTTTGCTCGACGTGATGAATGGCTGCATTGATGCAAAGGCAAATAAAATAACGAAAAGTGCTCGGGTTTCGATTTTATTGGCTCCTCGTGAGTGACCAGCTAAATAGGAGTCTGCAAGCGAGATTCACTGCAGCCTAAACAGTGTCGATAGAGGTTGTTTGAAATTTTTGTCGATAGCGGCCGAAACGTAACGCAAATCAGCTTGTCAGCGCGCGATTAATGTCGGATGTATGGGAGCGAGGACTCCCCCGAAGGGCCAAACACTGCTAATAAACAGGAGGGAGCATAAATTATAACGCGTTTATTTGTGAGTATGTAATTAATTTCTATAATTCCTTCCTATTTAGACATTGTCATTCGTCTTTTTCTTTCATTTCTTTTTTTTTCTTTCTTCTTCTCATTTGCACTCGAAACATCTCGCGATGCTTTAGATAAACCATCCGTATTCTCCAAACTTAATTCCTGCGATTTCATTAACTGTCACATTGCTTTTGGTCATCGACGAGACATCACGTAAAATATTAATTTTATACAATCGATAACCATACAATAAAAAAAACTATGAACAACGTTGAATAAATTAGATATTTATGATATTTCGTTTCGAAGTAAAAAACGAAATAAATTATAAAACAAACAGAGGTCTTCTTTACGTTAAAGACAATGTGATACCCGGGCCGAAACTTTCCTTCGGAAAAGTCTTCATTTTCACGATACTGCCTTGGCCCCCGGCACAAGGAAATCATAAAAATCGAGCTGTCATTCGTGTGTGGTAAGACGCACATACGATACGGACGCTTTCCTCCCAATTATAAGTGACGGGCGTTTAAAACTCGACTTCCGATTTTTCGCATTTTCGCGGTTACATCACTGGAATCGCGGAAGTGTTCCGCAGCTGCGCGGCCTTTGACTCGCTGACCTCCTTTAGTGTAAGAGACACACTGCTAATCGCTCGGGCATGTGTGGAAACACGAAATTTGAAACTTCCTAAACAGTCTCAAAGCTCCGCCTTACCAATTCACATTTATAACGACTTTCTTTCGCTCGTAAAAATGCTTTATTAAGAAGAAGAAAAAAAAAAAAAAAAAAAAAAAAAAAAAATACAAAAAAAAAAAAAATACGCACATAAAAACAATAAGAATCTATAGCTCGTTAGATGTCTTTTACTTAATACGAATAAATTTATAATATCCCCATAATTTTCTTGCGATTTTCTCATTCTCTCTCTCTCTCTCTCTCTCTCTCTCTCTCTCTCTCTTTCCATTATTATAGGCTATTCATGTATTTTATGAAAAATATTAGTTAAAAATAATCGAACGGACGAATGATAACGTCCTTCTATAACCAAATTGACACGAGAGTTCACGTATGAGGAACGAATAAGAGAGAAACGTAATCTCCCGTCGTAAATATTCCAGTTTTAAGACTGAACTAGTCTTAAAGAATAAATTACGAGAGCAAAATTATTGTCAAATGCTCATTTAATGATACTTGATCATACATATTAAATTTTTACCTATAAATGAATTGTCGATATAGTGAGCCAAGATTTAATAATTTCTAGTTAACGGCATTTTACAATTCTCGCTCAAAACATTCAACTTCCCAAGCATACCAATACAATATCCTTCCATCGCACTCTATTATAATCATCTGCGCGTTGTTATATTAATGCACTGGCGCGATAAAGCAATACAGGCGGTACATAAAGAAAGCCCTACTACGGCCGAATGCGAAAAGTATCGGCCAAACGATATTTACAATCTCTTTGTGGCTAGAGGAAATTCCTCTCGGACGAAGGGATCGGAGCGAGCAAACTCGGTAGCACTAACGAGCAGAGAGACTAGGCAAAACCTAGGTCGAGGCTTAGCTTCCTCCATTAGTCGCACTTACTCCCCGTTTCTGATGCTTTATGGCCTTTATGACATTTCTCCCCTTACGCGTAAGATCTCACATGACGAGCCACCACTGTTGTCGCGGGCGCGGCGCGAGTGGAGGGGGGAGACGTGACAACGCTCGCGTGTCGCCTCCGTGGCCGAGCACTTGGGACTTTTTAGTTTTTCCTCGCAGCGCGACCTTAGCGCGCGGATGCCTTCTTCGCTCGCACGGTCGCGCGACCCCCGTAAAACATCTGTTGCACGCTTTCCCTTTTCGCGTTTCCCTCCTCCATTGCTCCTTACAACGGTGGCCGATGCTGGCGCGCGCGAATTTGCTCTACGGTCGGACGATTGTGCGATAGGTTAGGTGAAGTGCCGGGAAAACTTTTTTCATTACATGTGGACTTGTTGGACCGATTCTCGCACCCGGTATCGTAACAAAGGCGTCGCAGTTTCACTTGTCCAGGATGAAGCGTAAGTTGCCCATCGTCCACGCTTGGCTTAAACTTGGCTTTGGATCTTTTAACCGACCTCCTACGAGCGACTGCTTCCTAACTCCTCCTCTACGGAACTTTCTTTCTATCTGTCAATGTTTTTGTTATTCTCGCTACGTCTGCAAAACGCCAAATTTCCATCGCCATTCGAATTATAATTAAAAGTCGCTCATCGGTTAAATTTATATCGTCGAAACATCTTTTGCAATCTCCATTCTCACGATCGATCTCGCTTGTCTTGGAACAAAAAAGCACACAAATTACTTGAGTCTCGGACATTTTATACGAAATAAGATCGAGAAAGAAATAGAAAAGAAAAGAAAAGAAATGAAAAGAAATGAAAGAAAGACAAATGAAAAATGAAGAAAAAAAACGCGTTAGTTTAGTGGGTGCAGATTTGAAGCGAGAGCATGCGCGTATGGAGCATTGTCCCTCTCCCTGAAATTATTAAATAAATTTTCAACGTCCTTTAATGTATTGTAATCGCTGCTCGAAAATAAAAATAACGTCGCGATACGCCTTGGCGTTGTATTTTAATTTAAAATCCATGAAAAAAACAAAACAAAACAAAAATTGTCCCTCTCCCTGAAATTATTAAATAAATTTTCAACGTCCTTTAATGTATTGTAATCGCTGCTCGAAAATAAAAATAACGTCGCGATACGCCTTGGCGTTGTATTTTAATTTAAAATCCATGAAAAAAACAAAACAAAACAAAAAAATTAAAAAAAAAAAAAAAAAAAAAAAGTGAGGGAAAAAATAAAAGTAACGATTGTCGACAAGCGAAATGGCAAAAATGAAGAAAAAATTCGGACACTAAAAACCGTTGCAGGGCCCAGCTAATTACATAACGCGAGATATGAGGATTTCGACGTGGGACTTTAGAGTTCGCCGTAGTGTACTTACGTTGCTTTGGCATATCGAAATCGTCATTCGTCCCGGACGTAAACTCAAATTTCATTCATCTCGCATCTTAAGCTTCGTTTTGTTAAATTCCAATAAAATGATTCATTTTCTTTATAATTTATTAAGTTAACAGTGGAAAATCACTTCTTTTTTTCTTTTTTTTTCTTTTTTACTTTAATGATACATATCGACGTTGGATGTTAAATACGAACCTAAATGATGCATTGAATCGAGGACCGTGGAAAATATTTAGTCTTATCGATACATCAAACTTTCTTAATAAATTCGTCTTGGGAAATTGAGATTTTATGAAAAAAAGTTCAAAGAAATTTGTGGTCACATATATTTTTTTATTTGATTGTTTTTATTAGTATTTGCATTTTTGCATTTCGTCTTGGGTAATAATTAAACAATAAAAATAGCATAAGCATTTTTTTTTCTAAAATTAAAAGTTCCAAGAATCAGTTAACCGTCGCATATTTTAATCATCCGTATATTGATCTCTGCGTCAATTTGTAAATGTTTTTCTTTAGTATTCGATTTCTATGAAATATACATGTTCGATGTGTACAATACCTTTTATCCTTTAAATCCTTCTTTATTAGAATCAATAATTTCAACTCTGAATGTATTATTACTTGGAGAAACTAATTAAACGGTTAAGCAAATAATTTTACAAAAATTACAAATGAAAAACCAAAAAAATGCGTGCATTTACGCGCAATTACAATGAAATGATATGAAATATTAATAAAACATATAAAATTAGAATTTAATATATAAATCAATGATATTAGAGAAAATTATTATTATAATAAATAAATTGTAAAATTATAATAAATCTTGACAAAATGATAAAAAATACGTATTAAAGATTTTCGATATCCCCACGTGTCTCTAATGACTCATCATTAAAAACTTTTGTATACATTTTTCAATAATCTACAACTCCAACATTTACAGAAACAATGGTAATAAATAGAAATGCAATGATAATATTTTACTTTAAAAGTCTGACTAATCTTTTCATGAGAATCTTAATAATGTTAGAATAAAGCCAACTCTTACAATATGACAAACTTTATTTAACCCATTATCAACTCCCTACGAAATTCACCATTATTTCACTATTACTAGCACTTTAATCATCATATATCATTACGTACGAATGTTACTAAATTAAATGCTCGGACAAGGCCACGTACTTGACAACAACAAAATTTCAAATGATAGTGTAGAAATATATTTGATGTCTAATGTGTGTAGTCGATTCGAAGAAAAATAAAAACTACCATGCAAATTGTATCTATCGCGTCGTTCTTCCTTCCTCGTCATTTTTCACATTTTATATCTTCTTTTGTGCTCTCAACTACGGCGTCAGCAAAAAAGCACATCCTTGTTATCGGAGTCAGGCGTCCAAGGCTGCTTCGCTCCTCTCTCTCTCCCGCCGCCATTCCACCCACCCGCCCACCGTCGCTCCCTCCCTACCTTCCACGTCTCTCGGTCTCGTTCATCATAGGCAGCCAAGAGATTTTCACGGATACTCCCGCACTCGGACGAGCGGTGCTTGACCCGTTCGCGGTCGGATTAATGCCCCCAATGGTATAAACAATCAGTCGACGAATATCCCGCGTCCGTCGCGCACGACTTTTCTTTTCGGGAATTGTATTTCCTTCTCAATCACTGACCCGAGCCCCCGATGACTCTTCCATTTCGGCTTAACGTAACGAGCAGACGACAAGGAAGTTGAGAAAAGGAAGTGAAACGACAGTATCTGCACGAGCGCCCCGCCACATAATACATCGATAGCGCCAAGAAATTGTCTCGGCCTTGTTTTGCTCACAATGCATACTTAAAAGACGATGTTATTGAAATGTCTCATCGATGAACAAGTTTGGCTGTGCCGCGGAAACGAGCGCTCGCGAATTCACTCGAGCGTATTTCTCATGAGTCAAACAAATATTGCACGAATGCTAAACACGAGATAAAATGTAAAACAATAGAGATAAAGCAATATTGTCGCTAGGCTCTTTCTTGGATACTACATCGTCTATTATCATTGCGTTATTTCATAATTTCACACTTTTAATTGCACCTTTGAGCGCCCGTGGGAAGAAATACGACGATCTAATAAATAATTGTATTGCCTGGAATAAGCTAGCAACTACCTCGTTCCCATTCAACCACGCAAACTGTCCCAACATTGTTTCCAAATGCTCACACTTTCCGGAACAGATAAAATTTTCGAATTCAATTCTTTGTACTAATAATTAATTCTCACATCTCACAAAGCGCGCATAATGCTGTATTAAACATTAAACATTTTATGTATCAATTTTACTTACGAATTCGTTTCATCGCTCTATGCGCGCACAGACTCAAGCCGTTGAAATTTATGGCAAAAGGCGCTAAAATGGTAATTTAACGCTATTCACAATACAATTTCTACGCTAGAAAAGCGAGTTTTGTTTCAGTTCGAACCCCCACTGCGCGACAATTACACTGTAAGCTTAAAATGAGCGAGACTATGCAAAAACAACCAAGCAAAACTCGGCCGCGAGTTTCTCAAAAGCATTATTATTACACTTTTTTTTGTTTTCCCTCCCATTCTCTCTTCCCGTACAAACTGTCGACGATATTAATATTATTTATGTCTCAAAAATTAAGCCAAGTCTCGCTAAGGTTGCCCGAGCAAGCGTATAGAATGGGGCATAACTTTACTGGCGTGTCGAATCGCTTGGCCGATGAATTTCATTTCTTGCGTGACGCGCGCGAACGGACGAAAGAGCCTTTCGCACAGTGCAAGCGCTTCCCGGGAAATTGCAAAAGTTTCGCTTAAGGTCCATGTATCTTTGATTTTGACGGGCGCGGCGAGAAATCCGCCAAGAGAAACTGTTTGCCGATTACTTAGAGCGGGCAAATTAATTATAACTACAGGACATTGTCATCGTTCGGCATTATCTCCGTTTATGAATGACGAGCGAGTCGGATAAAAAAAAAAATTAATAATAATAATAATAATAATAATAATAATTGTCTTTTTCCCTCTATTAAATGTGTAAAATGGTGAATTATTTATTGTCGTGCGTTATTTTCCATTAATTCGTAAAATTACGATATTTTATCGAAACTCGCCGTTATTCCCTACTGTGATCCATGTGGCATATAAACGTAGTTGTAAACTCGCCAAGTTTCAATTGCCAATATAATTATAGACAATTATAGAATATTATTGAAATATGATTGCATAAAATATTAATTGCATAAAATATTTTTCACACACGTGCGCATTAACCTACGACTATTACTTCCTTTTCAATTATATTTAAATTTTATTAACATTATAAATTCTTATTTAGTAAATCTTACATGAAGTTATGTATTTACATTACACTTTTTGTACATTATAGAATATAAATTATTCGTTTTTTATATTTAATTCTTGCATTTCTAAATTTATATTTATAAAATTAGCTTATTTCATTTCATATTAGATTTACATTTATCACGTAAAGTGATTTATAAGTGTTAAGTGCTCGATCCATGCATACCTATATATTGACAAAAAAAAAAAAAAAATGCGTAATGTGATTACATAAATTGTTACACCCTGTTGAATAATCCACAAAGTAGCAACCAACGACTAATGAAATGATCCTTATTCCATGCAATTAATTACCCCTAAAAATTTTCTCGATACTGCACCGTCGTATGTCCCTTGTCTCACATAAAAAACGATATTGTATTAACCTTGATGAGACTTGTTTTGTTTTTTCATTATTATTATTGTTGTTATTTGCATTTTTTTTTCTTTTAATGAAATACAAGCCTGCATTATTTGTATTTGTAACCTAAGAAAAATCTAATTTAAATACGTAGTTTTATGCAATAAAAATTTACAAAGAAATAAAATTCATATCATGGATTTTGTGCGCTTTCTTATACAACTTACTTGACAATGTAGATACATATGATTTAAGAAATTTTAACTTATAAATATTTAAACAATGATTTATACAAAACGATAAAAGAACAAAACAAAAATATTAATCTAACAATGAAAAAAATTAAATA